TGTATAAAACATTGTAGCAGAAAACAATTTAACAATGCTTTAATTATAACTGTTACAGATAATCCAGGACATAGATAATACCCACGTGTTTGTCAATACAAAGACATGACACTTCAAAGCTGTAACACAATTTTGGCAGTTAAATCGATGATTCAGCCTAAGCAATTAAAGGATAACTTTTTGATACCAACACAATATTAATGGTTGTTACATGCTTGGATCGCGATCGAAGAATTGGCTTCCAAAGGTCTACACTCCAAAAGATAGATGACATTCTAAGTAACCTGCTCTTTAGAGTGTTACTTGTGTCCTTATGTACAAGAGCAGAAAAAATTAAAATCAAAATTTCAGGTTTTAGGCATTTCATGAGATGTCAAGTTGAAAAGGCTGGATATTCATTTAGGAGTTTCCATAATCAAATTTGAAGACAAGGATTTGCTTGAAACTATTGCAGCCATAGTAAACCTTTGTGGGGGGAAGAGACAGAGAGTGCAAGGAGAGATATATATTATAGAGAGAGCGAGATTGTCTTTAAATCACTCAAGCCACAGCAAAGATCTCTGTGGATCAGTATCTTAGTCTTAAATTCAACAATTTAGGGCACTCGGTCGACACACATTTTCCGACACCAAATAACACCTCACCAAAATATTTCCTCAGGGAGACTTTAATTACAAAGTTCACCTTGATTTCCACTTATATCTGCCAATCTGTTGATCAGTGCTGTCTTTCCAGATCCTGAAGGTCCGTGGAGCAATACAGGCCATCTTTGGCTGACTGCCACTAGAACCATTTCAAAACTCTTCTTCATAGTTGAGGTCAGGACAAAAGGGCTCTCTGCGAACTTCAAATTTCTGCATGAAGTTAAAAAAAGGAGGTTTACTCACTGTCATTTTTAAATGAAATGGTGTATCCATCGTATTTACTATAAATGGTCTGCCTACCGCGAGAGCTTGATCCCGCTACAATTTGATGAGTCATTTTCAAATGACTCTACACACTGAGAAAGATTTATGATTTCATTAAGACAGAAACCATTTTCCTGTTCAGTTGGCTGAAGATACCAACCAGCCTTCTCTAATGATGTGTCTTGACAGAACTCCTCCCATCTGCAAGTGGAAAATAAAGAATGAATTCAACATTTTACTTAACTTTCCAACAGGTTTATACATCCCAAGCAGAGTAATAGAACTAACCGAAGTAAGCACTCAAAAGCTTCATCTTCTCTCATACCAAGGCTTCTGTTAGACCTGTCACCTACTCTAAGGACCACAGATAATATTTGTATTGTGCACCACCTTATGTCATCACTTAAATAACGACAAGCCATCAGTTCAAATAAATCCAGGAAACAAGACCAATCCCACAGTTCACTGAAAACTTTGGAATTCAGGAGCAAGAAACGATATGATATCCGAACTATAGCAAGCAATTGTGCATCCTGAGAATACAAACAATTAATGGGAGAAATCATTTTCTCAGGTAAATAAAAGAATACAAAATATTCTGACTAACAGAACACACACTTCAGAAAGCTGCATGCCATCAAAGATGAACATTCTAACAAATTATTCAATATTCATCCAAGGTTATATAATTACTTTCCAGACGAGAAGACAAATATTAGAAATAAATCCTTGTGCATATTAGAGATGCTTTAAACACATAACTCAGATTAAATCCTCTGAAAATTTGTAAGCATAAATTTTCATACTTGTAAGAGAATCTGATACTGAAGCAACAAAAAAAATCAAACCTTTTCCGTAAAATGTGGAGTAGAAACATCTGAAATCAGGCGTCGGAAAGGAGGAGGAGAAAACCGAAAATAACCTAAGATACAACTGAAGGGAGGAGGAGAAAACAGTGTTATTGGCTGAGCATAGCTCTCATATATGAGAAAATAAGCTGTGCAATGATCGCTCCGTTTTTAACTATTAGCTCCAAATTCAAGCCTTTTGAAGCATAAAGGTGCAAATTTGTAGCATTAAAAATTAAAAATTGAAATTACCTCAACAAGAAAGGGGCCAAGTCCAGCACCCGACAAAACGCCAGCGAAACCAGCTCGTGCAGCCTCAACCCCCTCCCTCTCCCAACATAGAAATCTATCACATGAATATCATCCTCCCCAATCTCCTCTTCAACCTCTCTCGATTCCGACTCCAAGCTCGGAACATTACGAAGCTTGCTCACAGCCCTCAATGCAATCTTCCGAACGAGCGGGCGAAAGCATCCCACGATCGGAATCGTGTAGCTCGGGTGAAGTAAAGGGTCGGCGATCGTCGCGACCAATTCATCCGCTGTCAAAGCTCCTCCCTATAACAAATCAAAACAAATTTGAGGAAAAAAATTTCGAAAGATTGAATCGTTAGGGTTCCAAAAAGATAACCTTTTGAGAGAGAGCGGCAAGTTTGGGGACGGAGCGGAGATTGGGATGGCGTGAGAGGAATCGCTCGAGCGCGGATTCGAGGACGAAGCTACCGTCGAAAGACATCTTTGGAGAGATGAAGAAACCCTCGAAATGATGAGAGAGAGAGAGAGAGAGAGAGAGAGAGGAATTGGGTTGGGGATTTTGGGTTCGGGATGAAGAGGAGAGGCAAAGAGGCTCACTGAAAGGGAGACGGTGTTCTTTTATACGGAGGGGTTTAGGTTTTAGGGTTTTAGCATTTGAGGGGCGGTTTTCATTAATTCGGTTGAGTTATGGACCCCCGATACCCGATAATACAATCTGCATCCGACCCGAATTATGGGCTTGGCCGCTTGGGTCCTTAAAACTCGAAAAAACCATGCCCTATTTTTTATCTTATTCTCTAACAAATGCAACTAGTACTTTATCCCATGCGAAAGACAGTCAAAACTCTATATTTCGCTATGTTACTTTAAAAACATACCGAAAATTTATTTATCTCTTTCAAAGACTATCGTATGCTATTTTAACCTCTTCTAATTTCATCTCATACCTTCCTATTTCGATACCTCAATTTTAAAAAACAATCTAGTACTTACCATTATTCAACTATTTTTTATATTAAGAAAATTAAATTTGTTATTAATCAGTTAAAATTAGTTAAGTACTTTCCCCTTCCCAAATTAACCTTCAACTATTTTAAATATACCCTCAGCCTTATTCTCCACTTCCGTAATGTCTTCCTCTCCACCGAAGCCGAAGAGTTCATCGGTTACCTAAGCGTCTTACTCTCCGCTGAAGCCGAATATTTCATCTGTTTCTCTTTTCGCCGTCCCACGAACTTCCACTCACTCAACACCCATGGCTGCATTATCTCCTCCTCAAATCTCATTCCTTCTCTCCTCATTTCCTAACCCTAATAATTCTATCCGTACTCACAAAATACCACCTTCCTCCCCAAAATCAAAGAAAGGTGCCGCCTTTTCTTCTCGAACTGTTCACTGCTCGGCGGCGAACAAGCCCTCGCCGTCCGCTGAGGTCAGGCAAGTTCTTATTTCTCAACCTTTGATCAATCTTTGAATTGAATTTATAGGGTTTTTTTTTTGTTCGATTTGGGAAATTAACTACTTTAATTTGGGATTCGGGAGAGCAATAAGCTAGTTTGATTGAGAACTTGGGTAGCTGTAATTTTGAAAGATGTTATTTGTGGTTAGATAAATTAGGAAGATGCTTGATTGAGAACTTGGGTAGCTGTAATTTTGAAAGATGTTATTTGTGGTTAGATAAATTAGGAAGATGCTTTTACTAGAATTAAATAATTGGTATATCTGATCCCAAGTTTTTATGATTCAGGTTGTTATTTCGCTTGTGATTTTTTTTATTTTTTTAATATGATTCTGATTTGGTTCAGAAGAAGCGTTCGTCTTCTTTCCCCACGCAAAAACACGCAATTTGTTGATTGAATCCGGTTAAGGTCACCACTAATCTCACCAGAGGCCAGGTATACCTTTCCTCAATTTTACCTTTTTTTTTACTTTTTTTCCTCCGATGAAATTGTTGATAGCACCCTAAAAATGGAAGCTATTTTGTCTGTTTTTTTTTACTTTTTTTCCTCCGATGAAATTGTTGATAGCACCCTAAAAATGGAAGCTATTTTGTCTGTATATTGGAACTTAGCTGTAGGATAAATTAGGTCTGCTATGGCTGTGATTGAATGCATGTTTGTAAGCTAGGTCATTGAGCGCAGGGAAAACTCTAGGGTCCATAGATTTTATTTATTTAGTTGATACGTGCAAAGGAGTTCCCTTACTGGAAATTATGAATTAATTGCTAAATCAATTATGTTTTGATCAATCTAATATCAATTGTGTAACCAATAGATTGAAGATATGAATATGTTCTGTAACCAATACTTGAGAAAACATGTTTCTTGAGTAATTATGTATGTTGTGAAAACCTGTTTTGCAATTCTCAATTAAGTTTACATGTGCAATTCTGTATGTTGTTAAAACCTGTTCCTTGAGTGTCGCACTGGTAGTGTCATTGTTGCTGTCTCCACCTTTGGCGCCTTCTCACCTTTAGTTCCTTTTGATGCTCCTTCATCTTTTATTCCTCCTACAACCATCCCGAGCAGCAACTGATTCCTTTGCTATATTTAAATTAAAATTGTGATGTTATGCGACGTATATTACGATGTTATGCTCTTATTTGATCATGCATCTTACTGTTATTTATAAGAATAATAACTAGAAAGTTACATAGTGTATAAACACAGAGCATACACCTATGCACACAGTAAGATGCAGAGCAAAGAAAACCCAGCATATGAAAAATAGGGACATATCCTTAGATCACCATTTCACAACAAAATCACCTTCACACTGGATCTGACCATCACTTTCGAAACTGAGAACTGGCTATATGTTTAGTTATCACAAGCAAAAAAACATCATATGCTATTTTTAAGTTGAAATCACACCACAACTAGTTTGCATGTTCGTCATCACAACATCATCTATTATAGCTGTATCCAACATATTGGAACCATACTAATAGCTGATATAAAATTACTTAAGAATTGTCATCAGATGCAGTTTACAGATATTTAAGCTGCTTAGCAATCCATCAAACAATACTTATAGCACAAAGAAGTACCAAGTTCAATAAAGTGAGGAGAAAAAAGTGCATGTTTAGGCATTACAAATGACAAAAGCAAAACCAGAACAGAAGGTTATAGCCAAAGAGACCAGACAAGACAAGAAAGCAAGTTGTTGGTAAAACTGTCATTAAGAAGTTCAATAGGAACTGCTTCCTTCATAACATCTTCTAGGGGAAACTCACAAGTATTAACTGGCCTTACTATAGTGGCTTACCATGATAATTTGCATTAATCGACGGAAAGTAGTTTAATGATCTTCTTGATGTGTACAAGAAGACATTAAAGTCTGATGGAATTACTAGGCTCTACCGTGGATTTAACATTTAATGCGTTGGAAGTATTGTCTACCGTAGGCTTTATTTTGGATTGTACGATTCCTTGAATAATTTTTTTCTAACTGGAAAGTTGTAGGTATGTGTTTCATTTTCAAATAATGTGTCTTGAATGTAGTATCTATTTATATTTTTTAAGTTACTTACTTTTAGTAAATGCATTTGTGAATTGTAAATGCAATTCAAAATTGTCAAAATTCTTAGTTTTTTTAATAAAATAGCTGCATAATTTCATATTGCTGAAGCTGACATCTTAATTCTCATATGAAAACAATTATGTTATATAATTGTAAGAGAACAATTTCTATCAAAAGAATTCTTGTCGAATGATGTTTTTCTTAGGCTACACTGATACTCATAATCAAACCTTTATTTTTATGTATGACAAGTCTGCATAGTTTCATAAGGTTTTTGTTTTTTAACATTCTCTGAGCATACTAATGATGTCAATGCAGTCCACTTCATGGCTAATAACCATTGTCTTCTAAGTGCATCACTGGATGGAACCGTTTGAGCGTGGGATTTGTTTCGTTACCGGAAATTTAGAACATTTACTACTCCCTACACCCAGGCATTTTTTTGCATTGGCTTCAGAAAAAAGTGGTGAAATAATTTGTGGTAGGTCACTGGATTCTTTTGAGGTATTTGATATATTAATCTGTGTGTTTTAGTTATGCTCATTAGTTTTTCTTTTGTCTTGTCTTGACAATTTCATGTCATTTTGGGTTTCAAATTTTTTTTATGTCAATGAAGACTGGCCGTCTATTAGATATTCTTAGCGATCATGGAGGACCAGTTCATGATTTGATGTTTTCGCCTACAAATGTAAGTAAACTCCCTTTCTTTCTTTTTGTTTTTTAAAAAGATAAAATTGCATGTTAAATATCATTTCAGAATTTACTAATCTTATTTAGCTAATTTTATTTATCTTTTGCTTAGATATATAATTCATGCTTTGTTATTTTTTATGCATATTATACAAACCAACTGTTTCCTTATGTCACATTTGTATATATGTATGTGTGTTGTTCATGTATGTATGTTTGTACATTTCCTCTTTTAGCAAAAGACTGAAGTGGTGCAATAAACCTACTCCGCTTAAATAAATTTAATGTTTTCATAGTAGGTTTTCTCTCTATTGAATAAAGTTAATGTTTTGTAAAAGTTTATTTTTCTTTACTGAATGCTTATTTTTTAATTACTTTAGGAACAAGTCACCATGATAAATTTAATAAATATGCAGGTTTCAAAAGGAAAGATGATCGTTTTTGTTTGTAGTTTTTAATTATTGGATGCTTTAATTCTTTGTAATTTCTATTTTGCTAAAATGGGTCCTGGAGGTTTTATTGAATTTGTGTTTGTATTTTGAAGGGCTGGAGTATGAGTAGAAAGATGTGAACCTTTTTAAGGGAGAGCAGATCAATCCAGGTGAGAAACATTTGAGATTTATTACGAATTTAGAACTAGCCGTTAAATTTCCCTAATTTTTGGGTGATAATTGTCATGTTCTGGGAATTTCTACAATAAGATAAAGAAATTTGAGAAAAAAATTGGTTGTTGACTCTTTTGGTTGGTTTGTCATATGCTCAAAGCAGATATGTTCTTCTTGGATTCATGCTTTAGTATTAGGAAGACGTTATCTTAGAATTTCTGGCATCTGAATCCATATACATATATCTTTCCTCCTCTTCCACATACCAGGCTAAACAAACTTTATGTACTGATTTGTTTGCTATGTTTGTGATCCTCTTCCACATACAAGGCTAAACAAACATCTAAACAGAACTAAACAAACCTGATATTTCTAACTCAAACATCTTATATGGCAGGTTCTAACATTTGCTATATTCCAGATTTGTAACCAAAGAAATCTGATATTTCTAACATTGCTATATTCCATATTTTGGCGAATGTTAGAACAAATATGTTCCGGTATTAGAAGATGGAGATTTAGTAGTTGCTGATTCGTTTGTGATCCTTTTAGTTAGATATATCAGATGTTTGTTCTAACATTGCTATATTCCATATTCACATTGGCTTTTATATTATTGCTGCTATTGCTCCTCTGCTTGTCTTTCATGGGAAGTCATTGACGTAAGTCATGTCCTTAGAACAGTTGGCTTATTTGGAGTGTTTGATGGTAAGAAATTTTGTCCTCAGAAAAATGTTGGTATATGTTTTTGTTTTCTTATTGCAGAACTTTTAAACTTTTAGATTTTGCATTACAATTTGTGTAAAATTTGTACAAATGTTCAAATAAAACAAGTTTTGCATCTGAGACAACTCATAACTAAGATGCTGGGTCAACATCCTCAAATGCAATCCTTTTTTGTGATAAATTGTTAGTAGCAAATATTGGGGACTCGAGAGTCATTATGTGTAAGGGAGGAAAGGGTAAGTCCTCCTATATTTGATCATTTTGGGTATTGGTATCTATTTATCTTTCAAGTGTTCAAATGATTTAAGGATTCATATATGCTTTAAATGATTGAGAAGTGTACATTTCCTCTAGAACTCAGACTCTTACTCGATCTATTGTTTAAAAATACAGCTGCAGCTCTTTCACGAGACCATAATCCTGGCCAAACTTATGAGCGTCAAAGGACTAAGGATGCAGGAGGTTTGATACTCTGGGCAGGTAAGTTATAATACATTCTGTTTGCATTTATACAATGTATTAAGGTTATATGATCCCTTGTTCACTAAGAGTTGGGTGTGAAACTAACTTTCAACGTGTTGTCTTACTGGTTTGTATACACTTTAGTAAATGGCAAGCGTTGAATTTCATCTGCAGAACTTCCGTATAATTTCTGCCACCAAAATGAATTTCATTTCTGAACGCAAATTCTAAACTTTATCTTCCTGAACATAGGTTTTCAACATACCAACTTCAATCTGTATCATGTGATATCTAATCTGCTATCACCAGCATTGTTTCTTGTCAGTTGGCCCCTCATATTAATTATATGCTCAGTTTATTGAAGTCATAGTTGCATTATTTCACTATTCTCAAAAATATACTGAGGCTAGCATGATGTTTTTGGCTATTCTCATGATTACTATACATATTTGGTATGAAAAGTTTTTCTGAGGATATATAGTCGCACTTTTAGATATTTTCTAGGATCCATAACCTTCACATTCAGATATATTTTAGGTATCCAACCTGAAAAACCTGCTACGATCCATTTGGTTATCAGGCCCCACTTGGATTCCTATATACAAGTGATGGCCAGCTGACTAATTTTTGCTTACTTTCCATAGTACATTATTTCTAAATAAAAACTATGAGGAGGAACTTAAAGGAACCATCTTCAGAAGTGTCTATGCAATATATTTCAATCATTTGATCTTTTGTCCTTTTTGATGCAGGAGTAATCAAAATTAGTTGCTAAACTGGCTGAGGAAGGAAAGGTGTTATTTTAATCTTTTAGGGGATATTTTTTCTGTTTATGAGTTAATTTTTATTATTCTTTGTTTTAATCGCTCCTAACATCATATGTTAAGATAATTTATGTGTAATGTAGTATGTTCAGATGCTTTTTTAGTTCTCTGTCAAGTTCATTTCTCCTCCATGTATACCACACATGTGCATAAATGAGAATCTCACATGACTCACATAATTTACGAGATTAGAAATCTACGGCATACCACATTATATGTAGGAAGTTGAGTAGCTTCATCATATGTTATGTCCCTCTGTAAAAATGTATTCATCAGTATTCATTTGTGATTTCAAGGTGATTGATATATGAAGAAGGTAAGTTTTATCATGCCCTAAGCTGTGCATATACAAAATACACTGCTTCTGTGTGAGATGTTTAAATCTCCTTGCTGTAAGCAACTTGTTTATGACCATGTAGGAAAATGAAAAATAACAATTATTAGTTTCTGTGTGATCAATAAGACAATAACTTGCTTGATGAAAAACACAAGAATATTCCCTCTAACAAGCAATTTTTTTTTCATTTTGGGAACTTCTTACTCTGTTTGTAAAAGTTTCTATGATGTAAGCCAATGAGCTTTCAAAAAAACAATAAGAAAAGATAAACAAATGTAGCTCCTATAAGTTCACACGGTTTAAAGTTATAGAATTCAGTTAAATAGAAATATCATTATTAATAGTTGTGATAAGTATTCACTGTCTGAAATTGTTTTCTTATAGTCAAGTTGATTTGTTGTTCACAAGAAAAAATTTATTAGGATATAAGTGGCTATCCTACAACACTATCGTGTATCCACAATTAACCCTTGTGTTTATTCTTTTAGTTCTATGAAGACAAATCTTTTCAGTGCAATATTATCGAATATCTATAATGATATACACAAGTAAAAATTTCATCATCTATTATGTCAAAAATCACTAATGTTGCAAAAGTAACCCCACTGTTTTGGTGCTTGGGTACAGAAAAAAAGTCTATAATTTGTTCCCACACACCGATATTTGTTCCCAAGATTGATTTCTGGAGTTTTTCTTTGATTTGTGGATGAAGCTGCCTTTGCCCGTGAGCTGATAAATGTGATATTTGTTCAGGTATGCTCTCGTTGGAATTTTATTATGTATTATTATGTAAACTAGCGTTTATTAGATGAATTAGCCAGTAGAAATCAATTGAAATGCTGGGTATCTTTTGAAAATAGATATTGTAGAGCGATCCTGTAGGGGATCTGTTTCATAAAATTAGCCTATGTGAAGTTAGCAAAGAGACATATGAAGAGAGTTGCAACTGAACTCCAAGTGATGGGGGCATCAAACAAGGACTCGGCTCTAGGGTATATGCTGCTTCAGGGAGTGAGATTTGCTTTCAGAATTCATCGGGTTAGATACCAACTCCGCTAAAAAAAATTCTCGATTATTCATGTTGTTTCTTCATAAAACATCTTCTGCAATGCAGTTTGCTGGAGGATTTGATTCCGAGACAATGCATGCATTTGGGGAGCTAAGGAACCTTGCCCATGTCAAAAATAAGCTGTAATTAAGAGGGGTAATTAAATAGCTGAAGTTGCTTACCTTCTCATTAAGCAACCTATAAACTCTATGCATCTTTTGTTTTATTTTGGCGCTTGACTTTGTTGGATGGAGTTCCAGATGAACGGTTGTGTTTTTGTATAGTTTGTAGCAAAAATGCTGTAACTCAAAAGAAGAGGAGGGGGAGATTAAAAAATTGACTAGGCCTTGGAGGTTCATTGATCTTTATATTTTTGTACATTTACAATATCAATTTGAAACTGCAATTAGACCCAACTTATAAGATGCTTTTGAAAATGTTTTGCTTCAATTAACGCTTACATCAAACTATGATGCACGCATTGATGTGTTGGGGCATCAAATGTAGATTTTCAACTTTTTAAATATTCATTCAACTACAAATGTCCAAATTATGAATGGTTATCACCAATTTCTAATATCTACACTCCAAAAAAAATCTATACTTTTCATAAGCTGAAATTCGAAGATGTGGAACCTATAAAATCTATACTTTTTCCCCTGTTTTTGGCCTTGCTAGAAATGTTCAATACAATCCATAGATAAGTTCCGATTTAGTTCATACATAGTAATTTCAAATATGAGATTGACATTCTATTGCAATAGGAAGAAGGAAGTCTATTCTGCAATTACCTTTGCAAGATATTATCAAATGATATATTAATGTAAACTTACAATAAAAGTGCAATGAAATGCAAAGATATTTTGTCAGTTGTTTTAATTGGGTGTTCTATGTTTTATGTAGCCATAATTTACTCTCATGCCAATAACATTTTAGTTCTTAATATTGACAAATGTGCAGTAAAAAAACTGATTACTTAAAAAGGGTATAGATCCTATATCATAACTTAGTTTTTAAACTATCTTGGTGTTAAATATCCATGACAATCTATCAACCAATTCATGTTAAAAATTATTATGTAATAAATATTGCAATGAGTAATGAAATTGATGTATTCACGATACTTATAGATGAAACCATTGTATTATCGCCCAATCAATCAATGAATATAATTTAATTGTTCAAATGTTGAATGTTTAGATTATGTCTATACGCTTTATCCATTACTTACATTACATAATTTTATAAAAAAAAGGGATAAAAAATTTAAAAAATTTAAACAAAAAATGAAAAATTAACCACGTGCATTGCACGTGCAATCCAACTAGTATATATATACATACTAGTTTTATACACGTGCAATGCACGTGGTTAAATATCATGATTAAGTATTTTTAGCTTATTTTATAGCTAAAATTTGTTCCTCAGATTCACTTTAATAGTTTATGCTCACTTTTGTCTCTAAACTTTAATATTGTGATTAGTTATTTTCTTTAATGTTTGTTTAAATGGGCTACACCCAAATTAAACTTTCATGTTAATATTAAAATTGATAGAAATCAAATATAATTTGAAGCTAATTTAAATTTTCATATTATTTTGATTAACATGAAACCAATCTTTACTTGAGAAAGTACAATGTTACAAAAATAAAAAATATTAAAATTGTGTTATGCAAAGAAGGTGAATATTTAAAACCAATAAGGCAAAATAATTGCTTAAAAGTATGCTAAAATATACAAAATAGAATATAAATTTTATTCCTAATCATTGATAGCATTCATAAAAAATTATAAATTAAAGATTAATGCTAACTCTAGTAGACTTTCATATGAAAAATGCATCTGCACAAGCATATAAATCCACTGAAAAAGCTCTATTCTAAAGATTTCTAAATTCACACAAAATAATTAAACTATTCTATAAAATATTCACAAAATATTATCTTTTACTCCTTCAGTTTTTTTTACTGAGCTAATATCAATCCTTCCTCACCTTTATCTTTTTCCCGGGCAATTCTATAGTAGTATCTTTATCATCTACTCGATTGTGACATCGGGCTAGAGTTGTACTTTTTGTGCTGTTATCGTTCTTGGGCTCGTTAATCTTTTATCTTATTGTTTAACTTCACAAAAAAGTTAAATGTATTTCTGATATTCAACACAAACTTCTTGAAATACAACATTTGATTTTTTTTTATTTCAATGAAAATAAATATTAATTCCATATATATGAAATTCTTTTTATTCCTAATTTATTACTTAAATAAAATTAAGATCTACCTCTTTTTTTTTCTACAATCAATTCTTCTGATGTGCATCTAACAAGAGTTTCAGTTACGTCAATAATATTATATTTACTCTATCCATGTTATTTTTCACAAAGATCTAAACTAAATACCTATATTTTTTATTACTAATTTACCTTAGATTATAATATTAATATTTAATTTCTTTAGTATTTTAAGAACAAAGTATGGAATTTATGAATGTTTACTAATTTTTCTTACATCTTCTATAGAGAATTCTTCTTTGATTGGGATAAAATTTTATTAAATTATTCTTCAATGTAACTTAGTTTGTGCTTCTTTAATAGACATGCCTTATGTTAATGATAATTCAAATGATTCATGGACGTTTTCCAAAATTTAGATTTATTTGCGTCACTTTCCTATTTTCAATGAAAATAGTTTGATTCTTTTGAATGATATCTCTTAACATTCTGATAGTTTCTTCATATGTAACTCATTGTATCTTTTGAATGCTAAGCTATTATATTATAGTCTTTTATCATTTTTATGGATTTAAACATCTATCAATTAATATTACTAATGTGTTCTTCTGCTCCAACTTATTAGTAAAATTACATGCAGTTGCTTTAATTTATATGGTGATGATAATTTTTAAGCTATAATATTTTTTAAATTTTTATTTCTTAATCGGATATTTTTATTGCTTTTGTTTATGAGTATCAACTTAGACTATCTTTAGATGTTGAAAAGGGATAGTAAATCCCAAATTGGAAATTATATATATATATATATATACTTTGGGAGTATTTTTAAAAAATTACTTTTAAGTTTGGTAGTTGTAACTTCTATGTTTCATGTGTCGGTGTTAATTTATAAATGTCACGATATTTCTTACAACTCTAAAATTTTAAGGTTGTTTTTTGCAATTGTTAAAACTATAGATTAAGTTTTTAAAAATTCAAAATTTAGCGGTCTATCAATAATTTTCAGATTTGATGTGTACTGGTTATAAATTTTAAATTTTTAGAGTTTTTCTTATAATTTTTAAATTTTGAAAGAGTTTTTTTTTCAACTTTTGTAACTTTGAGGTTAATTTCGATAAATTTTAAATTTTTAGGTGCATGAGGGTAATCTCTTGAATTTATTTTTTATTGTTTGCAAATTTTAAAAATTTTATAATTTTAGGGTTATTTTTTTATAATTTAAACTTTTGAGGGAGTTTCTATAATTTTTAGGATATTGAGGGTGTTAATTGAAAATTTTAAATTCTTCAGAAGCTGCTGTTAATTTTTTAATTTCATGTTTATTATTTTAAGCTTTGAAATATCAGAATTTTTCTGGTGCATTATAGTAATCCCTTGAATTCATCTATGTTGTTTGTAAGTCTTGAAGTTTTAGAATTTCAGGTGTTTTTTTATAATTTGAATTTTTGATGGTGTTTCTATAATTTTTGAGATAATGAGATGTTATCCGCAAATTTTAAATTCTTCACTGTTAATTTCTTAATTTTATTTTTGTTATTTTAAATTTTTAGACGTCGGGATAGTTTTTATAAATTTAAACTTTTTAGGGTATTTTGTGTAATTTTAAAAGTTTTAGATTTTTTGCAATACTTTATGTATTATAGTACGTTAGCTACGTATAATTTCTTTATCTTTACAAACTAATACCATAAAATGATGTTTTAAATATTTTATTAATATAATATTTTAAACTGTTAAGCTATAGATAGTTCACGTAGGATTAGGATAGGATATAATTATGATTACGTATAATTTTTTTTATTTTGACAAACTAATACCATAAAAATATGTTTTACATATTTTATTAATATAATTTTTTAAATTGTTAAGCTATAGATAGTTCACGTAGGATTAAGATAAGATATAATTATGATTAGGATAGATTAAGATATAAATAAAATATTTAAAATAGTAAAGGGTAATATTGACTATAGAAAGATTTTCCCGAACTCGTGCTTTTAAAGGGAGTATCATATCATATCATACTCCCTTTAAAAGCATGAGTTAGGAAAATCTTTTTTAGATAAATATACCCCTATAAAATTTGAACTACCCTATCTATAATCAAATTCTAAATTTTAATTGGATAACATTTATACTGACTTCTGTTGCATTATATAAAACCCCGATACTGAATATAAAACCCCGATATCATAACTCAAAAATTACTTTTATTAACTCTTCTACTAACCTACATGATCCCGCTAACCAGTTATCCTGGTACATGTGTCAACATATCATATTACCGAGTATTTATTTAATTTCTTTTTGAGTTATGATGAGTCTTATCTGTAGACTCGCATATGCTTTTTCAACATATAATACTCAGACTCAAAACTATCCTATCTTATCTAAGCTTATGATAACAAATCCCCGAGTATTTATTTAATTACGTTTTGAGTTATGATGAGTCTTATCTGTAGACTCGCATATGCTTTTTCAACATTAACAACTCCTATTGCATTTATGATAATAAATCACCGATTAATAATACTTTAATCTTATCTGTAGATTGATAACAATCCCAGATTAATTGTAACACAATTCAAATTCTAATAAAACTCTAATTATGACTATTATCCTATCACATGCAATACCTCATGCCTATATATAAACCAAGAAATTACATAGTTTTTATAGTAACTTCATCTCCTTCAACATGTATGTATCTTTTTTATTTTTATGATATGATTATTCTTTAGAAATATTGTGCATTTGATTTAATGGTGATACTTGTTTTACACTGCATTTACTTTTTATGGCATTTATGGTAATTGACATTTTTTTAAATTTTTTAAATTTTCATGCAGAATTTAGAGCATTACGGATTTGATTGCTACAAGTTCTTCCATCTATCAAGGTAAATCTTTATATTTGATATTATACATTGTTTTGTCTTGTGATTGTGGTAATAATCCCGTTATAGTGTGAGTAGTATTAGTGTTTAATTTCAGCAAATTGTCTAATTAATATTTTTTCTCTTGCTGCTAATGGCGGTGTCCCTGATTCCCAAGCCAGAGTGATGTGAGCGATGTGATCCTTTGATAAATGAGAGTTGTTGTATCAGTACTAATTAAAAAAACATGATGGAAAA